TTTGAGAACTCCATCATGTGCAGAGCCTGGAGCTGCAGAAAGTATTCTGGTTTCTTATCAGAGGACAACAGAGGAAAAACTAGGCATTTTTTATACCAAGAGCAGGCAAATTGCCATCTGTGGGGGCAATGCAACTCTCAAGACCGTTTTTTGTGCTTTTGACTTTATCCATCTCAAAATGGGGGTGGGGGGAGGAATGACCAATCAAACGCTCAGAAATCTCCAGGCTGTGAGTTAGATATTTTGGGCTAGTTTCTTAGGATGAACCTGTTTTGAGTTTGTTTTTTTCTAAACTTGGAAGTGGCAAAGTCACTTGAACCTTCCTGGAACACAATTGACTGATCTTGGACCCATTTCGCAGGGTTTAGAGTAGTTGTTTCCCAAACTTTGGTCCTCCAGGTGTTTTGGACTTCAGTTCCCAGAAGCCCTGGCCATTTGGGCCAACAATCAAGAATTCTAGGACTTGACATCCAAAACATCTCTAGGGTCGAAGTTTGGGTAACACTGGTTTATGTCAGGGAATTGTAGGGAAGTTGTTTCAAGGACAGGAGCAACCTCGACTGCTGTAAATTGTACACCAATATTAATGAAGCTGGACTGAAGATTATTTTTATCAAGTGTGGACAACTAGTGGCTCTTCACTTGTTGTTGGATTGCAGATCCCACCATCTCTAGCCAGAATTGCTAACAGAGAGACATGCTGGTAGTTGCAATCCAGCAACATTTGAAGGACCCTATATATTCCACTCTTGTTTTAGATGCTGATTAGTGTTGTTTTTAAGTCAATAGAAACCAGACTGGGGAAGCTTTACATATCTGGTGTTATAGAAAGAACATCATCATTTTCTTCAGAGGGAAAAATGAGGCTGGCAAGAACCTGCATGGACATATGTGTGGATACATTGCCATGCTTTGTTTAGAACTAATTTGCCAACTGATTTAAGACTGCAAAGAGAAGTAACAGAATAATTACTGCAATAACAGGTAATCTTATAGTCATATTGAGCTACTGCTACATTTTGCCTGCATCTTCCCTTGTATATGGGAAATTATATTTCCTGTCCTTTCCCAAAACAACCACTATTGCAAGAGTGCTGTTGCAAAAATGGGAAAATATTTTGCCTCCGTTTTCACCTTCTCATGACCATCCCTCTCCCTTCTCGGGCTGTACACTAAAAATGGCAATGTTTTTCTTTATTGCCTTGTAATGGATAAGGGATTGTAAAAGATGCATTATTTGCCAACAATGTTATAAATGGCTATTAATTGCCAGAAGTGCCCTGAAGATCTCAGGAGTTTCCTTTTAATGTTGAGTCCCCTAGGACACAGTGCTATTGTTGGATTTGTCGCTAGAAGAAAACAAGCATAAACTGTAGTAAGGCACTTCCTGTATTAGTTCAAGCAGTGAGAATGCACTGTGTCATTTTAGAAATATGATATTAAAATATTTTATATTATAGAAACACATAAGGAACCGGGTTTCCAAGCCAGTTCATACACTGATGATCTTCTTAGACTAGCCTCTCCAGATGTGTTGGATTACAACTCCCATCATGATGAGGGCATGGCAGTGCTGACTGGGAAGATAGAATGCATAGTCTTATACTGTACATCTGGATGGTGCGGGGTTGCAAGAAATTGATCATTCTCAAATAAGCCTATTAGTTTTTAAGGGATCCATAAGACTGTTTTATTACTTTTGCTGCAACAAAGAGTGCCATGTTACTTAAATCACAGAAACAGTTATAATGGCTGGAATACTTTCATAGCTTTATACCTCTTTCTTTTACTTCCTCAGGCATGCACATAACTAAGCTATACTGGTAATTTAAGTGGGATTATTTTAACATGTTGAATGAAATAAAAGGTATGCTGTTTGAAAACCCAGGAGATTAAAACTATGCTGTAGAGAAAGTAACATTTGTGTGCATTTGTACCTACTTACAATGACTCCTGCTGGCGGAAGCTGAGCCTAGAAGAGCCTGAGGTTTTCCTCTTAGGCAGTTAATTTCTTGCAGGTGTGGTTTACAGACAACATGGAGGGTTAATATATGGAAACTAGCTAATGTTGGGCTAACAGATATTAGGGTCCTGGATTCCAGGCATTGCTGCTATCATGCATGTTGATCCAAAGCCTGCTTCCCTACAAGTAAAATTTCACCTACCCTCCATATCAGTGAACTCAGTATTCTCTAAGTCAGGGGTCGACAACCTTTCCTTACCTGAGGCCGGTCCCTTTCGTTGGGCCCTTCTGGTGGGCTGGGGGGGAATGGCGGGGTGTGCACTCATGCGCGTGCGCACGACTCCTGCTGCCGCGTGCACCGCACACACCTCTGCAGCCGCCTCCGCGCATGGCACGGCTGCCATTTTGTTTGCCAAAATGGCAGCCACAACTCATTTGCGCATGCACAGTACTCCTGCGCATGTGCAAATGAGTCGCGGCCGCCATTTTGGCAAATAAAATGGCAGGCGCAACGCGTGTGGCTGCGCAGCGGCCAAAACACGTGGCGGCGGTGGGGCGGTAAGCAGGGGTCTGCGGGCTGGATGCGGCCCGTGGGCCGTAGGTTGCCGACCCCTGCTCTAAGTGGTTTACAATCTATAAGCCAATTGCTCCTAACAAAGCTGGGTACTAATGTTACTGACCTATGAAAGGATGCAAGGCTGAGTCAACCTTGGACCCCTCCAGGACGAAATTCACAACCTTATGGCTGCAGTACCCTCATTTTAACCCCTGCACCACCAGGGCTCCAAGTTTGCAAAAGACAACAAATCGTTATTATTTTGGTATCTTTACAGAGAACAAATGTGATTGCAGAGAGCTGCAAAAGGATATGTACAAACAAGATGAATGAGCATTTAAAAAGGCAAACACACAGTTTAATCGATGTGCTTTGGGGCAGCCTCCCTCCAACTGTGCCTATACATTAAAGGGGTCTCACATGGAAGTGACTGACAAGATTGTGGTGCACGTCTTAATAAAAATGTTCCATAGTATGAATTCTATGTTGTGAGGGGACTTGTTATGTGCATTTAAGTTGACTCTGACTTATCAGGATCCTTGGTGCATTTTTTTTCTAAAAGAGGTTTCCTATTTCCTTCCTCTAAGACAGAAATTCACCCAATGGGTTTCCATGGCTGGCTAGTAATTTGAACCCTGGTCTCTCAGAGTCCTAGCTCAATATTCAAACCAGTAAGCCACCCTGCCAATATTATAGGCAGCTAGGAAAGGGATTGAAAATATGATTTCCACTATCATAATGACTTTGAAGAAATCTATGGCAGAAGAAACAGTTCTGGGCACAGCATCTGAGAAAGGATACCGGAGAAGTGGGAAAGGTGCAAGAAGGAGGAGCAAACCGATTAGGAAGCTGGACTGTGTAGGAAAGTATAAGGGAAAGTAATGATGTTTCGGATTTTAGTTTAGAAATGAGGGGAAGGCACAATAGAGGCTTGTAAAATTAAGCATGGTGCAAAGAAGATGGACAGAGATAAGTTTTGTTCGCTCTCTCAGAATATTAGATCTCTGGTTCCTCTGGTGAAACTGAATGATGGGAGATTCAGAGCAGACCAAAGTAGTTTGCACAATAAATACTTGAACGATGGGATTAACTACCACAAGATGCAGTGATGGCCACCAACAAGGGTTATTTTGAAAGAGAATTAAATATATTCATAGAGCCGGGGGTTGCAAGTGGGTACTAGTCATGTCTTTGTGCACATGCATTGCCTGGATGTACATGTGAAATCATTTCTCCCAATAAAAATAGTTATTTCAAAAGCTATGCAAACTGTAGCGTTCTTAGAAATTTTTCTCCAATCGTTCTTTCTAATTACGTGTTCCCACAGCTGTTCCTCACTCCACCTTCCTATGTGGTTGGCATACAACTCCTGTAATGAGAGCCTGACAATAGGGATGATGGGAGTTGTAGTCAAACACCTGCAGACCAAGGTAGGAGCAGGAAGAAGGGTGCATCTATACTGTAGAAATAATTTAGTTTGACACTACTTAACTGCCATGGCTCTATCCTGCAGAATCCTGGGTTTGGAGTTTATGAGCCATCAGCACTCTTCGGCAGAGAACGTGAAAGACCTTGTAAAACTACAAATCCCAGGATTCTATAGGCTGGAACTACAGTGGTGCCAAATGGCATTATTTCTACAGTGCAGATGTAAGAACTCTTAAGAACCTTTTTGGTGTGGCTAGAGCTTTGAAAAGTTACTTTTTTGCATGACAGTTTCAAGAAATAGTGCAAATTGAGTCTACTTTAACTGTCCTGACTCAGTGCTAAGGAATCATGGGAACTGTAGTTTATTGTGGCACCAGAACTCTCTGACAGAAAAGGCTCAATGTCTCAGAAAAAAATACAGTTCCCATGATTCCCTAGCACTGAGCCAGGACAGTTAATGTGGACTCAATTTGCACTATTTCTAGCAGTCTGCAAAGGCCCTATGTGTGTGGGGTGGGATTCTGAGAGTTGTAGTGCAAAAGGTCATCCTTCTAAACTGAAGGCCAGATCCTCAGATTGACAGCCAGGTTCAAAGAGCTGCTGTGTAAGATTAAAAGGGCGAAGGATGTAATATATTTAAGAACATGCTTCCTTTGACACCCCCATAAATTACCATCTGTGCAGATTCTTTAGAGGAATAAAACCACCAATGGTCTGCATTCATGGAAGGAAAAGTTCCTCTTGCACTCAGTACTGAGTGGGATTTGAGTCAGAGTAACATGGGCTCTGTGTGTGTGTCTGTACATAGGACTGTAAAACAGCTTTTAGTTTGACACACACCCCTTGCGAGAATTATTAGTATGATATGAACAAATGCAAGGAGAGGGGCACTCATTGTGTGTTTGTGTGTGTGTCTGTTGTGTGCCTTCAAGTCATTGCTGGCTTATGGCGGCCCTAAGGTTATCTATCACAGGGATTTCTTGGCAAGTTTCTTCAGTGGGGGGTTGCCATTGCTATCCCCTGAGGCTGAGAGAGTGCCCAAGTGGCCTTTTATGGCTGAGCAGGGATTCGAACCCTGATCCCCTGAGTCCTGTTCCAAGGTTCAAACCACTACACCATTCTGGCTACACATACACACATACACATACTGACACCTAAATCAGATTTGCTTCTCCAAGTCTAAGATCTGCATTCACGAGAACAGGTACTCAGGCCTTTAGATTTTGAGAAGAGAATCTGATTTAGGTGTAACTTATACAAGATGACCAGATGTCCTCCTTTTCCAGGACATTTCAACCTTTTGTCCAGGAGGAATTTCAAACTGTCCTCCATTTGAGCATGACAAGAAGTATGAATTTACATTTATATGAGTGTTTTTTAGCTTTCATTTGGTAATGTCCAACATTTTTCTCGAATGTCCTACATTTTGCGGTGTCTTATCCTCCTTGCGGTTAGGACATCTGGTCACCCTGCACTTATAACTATGTGTGCCATGTGCTCTCTCTCAATTTAGGGCAACCCTATGAATTTCAAAGGTTTTGCTTAGGCCAGGAATACTCAGAGGCGGTTTATGCCAGTTCCTTCATTTGAAATATAGCCTACGGTATCTATTATTTGTGGGCGGTCTCCCATCCAAGTCCCAACCAGGGCTGACCCTGCTTAGCTTCCAAGATCAGAATACCTTACTGTCTAAATACCACTTCAGTGCATTTTTGCTGCTTCAGTCAGCATGCAATGCTGCCGCCTGCTGGCCCATCACAATCCTTACATGGACGATCTGAATAAAAGGCAAGATGAACTGTTCATCTTGCTTTTTATTTTGCTTTTATTTTATTTTAAATATCTCTTCACTGGCCCAAAAAGGGTGGTTGTTGCCAGACCATCTGTGCCAAAGCTGCAGCTGTGATGCCATGATGTGGTTTCCCCTTCTCTGCCTCTGAATGTGTTGTGGACCATGGCCAAGAGTGTTTTTTGTTTCTTTCTGAGTGGAGGAACAAGGCATCCCCCACTAATGAAGAATTCTGCCTCTCCAAATTAAATTTTCCTGCAACCTCCAAATTGCACTAAAACATCACTAGAGCATTTAGAAATACAGCTTAGCCTACATCCAAGAAAACCGACAGGCAAAGTTAGCAAGGGCATGAGAACACAGCAAATACAGAACAGCTCTGAGTGTGAATGATTTTCAGCCTCCATCTCTGCAGTGCTAGAAATTTGGAGACTCAAGGACCATTTCATGGAGTGGGGGCAATGGCCTCATTTTGTCCTGCTATACCACTGACCATCATGAACCAGCATGGTGTAGTGGATTAAGTGTTGGACTACAACTCTGGAGACCAGGGTTCAAATCCCCACTTGACCATAAAACCCCTTGGGCAAGTCATCCTCTCTCAGCCTCAGGAGAAGACCATGGCAAATCTTCTCTGAACAAATCTTGTCAAGAAAAGCCCATGATATGTTCACCTTAGGGTTGCAATAAGTCGGAAACTACTTCAAGGCACACAATACACATACACACACACCACAACATATCATTGACCATGGGGTTGCTGGTTATGGATGAGCATGGGGTTGCTGGTTATGAGGGTTGTATAATTTTACATTTTAGGATCTTTTATAGCAGAGGAGTTTATACTGGCAGTGATCAATCCCTTAGCTGCTTAGATTTGGGGGAGCCATGGTGGGCATACTTGGATTTCCCAGTTGGTACCCTTTCCACTCGCAAAGTTCCTAAACATAAATCACCAGGAACACAATCCCTTCCATTGTAGGAGTCTGTAAAGACAGAACCCAATTAATCCTTGTTGTTTGTTGTCAGTTGCTAAATCAAGTCGGCTTGGATTTATTGAGAGTTGGACTAGGACTCTGGGAGATGAGGATTCTCCCATTAAAAATGCAATCCCATTACAAATGTGTTATATCGGTAATACTAAGAGATGGGAAAAGGTATGTACTGTATTTGGACTGCAACTCCCAGAATCCCCCACCCAGCACATCCTTTGGCTGGAGGATTTTGGAACTTTTAGTTCAGGTGAGTAACTTTTCCTTGCTCCATTAAAGTGTTTGTTCTATTATGCTATACTAACCTACAAGCTTGATCATGGTCACCAAACAAATGTTATCTTTTTGAACCATAATAGAGTTTTAAACCAAATCCATCAATTTTTTTTGGTCAGCTCTGAAAGAAATACTTGCACTTTTGTTTTTGTTTTGCTTTTATTTTTTGGAAGAGGGTTACCCTAGAACTCACATTTTGAACCAGTTTGACCAAATTTAATATTTAGATTTAGGTTGACATTCAGAACATTTTCATGCACGTTTGGGATAAATCATCAAATATTGGGGCTCCCCCCAAAATTGCTGGCTTTGGTCTGTTTTGGAGGGAGTTTGTTATGGAAACACAATTTTGAACCTAGACAATGTGGACATAGAAAAAGTTTCTGTACCTTGGATCAAACATTGATCAGAACTGGGACTCCAGTCAAGAAATCAGAAGAAGACTAAGGGGCTCCTTTTCGGTGCTCCTTTGGCGCAGCTGTGTGGACGCTGCGCCAAGAGAGCGTCCTGACAGCTCCCACCATGTGGTGGGGCATGCGGCATGAAGACGACATGGGGGCAGAGTCAGGGTGGCCAGTGCGTGACTGCCATGCCCTCACTCTGCCCCCAGGCTGCCTCTTTATGCCAGTCTGTTCAGCCCCTAAGAATGGGGAGGGCACCTATGAAAGATTTAGAAAAGCTCCTAAAGAGCAAAGTTATATAAGTAAGCATGAAAGTTAGAATTGTACAATAGCAATAGCAATACCAAATACATTTCTGTACTGCTTGTTAGTGCACTTAGGCACTCCCAAAGTGGTTTACAATGTGTAATCTAAGGGCCTTTGCAGACTGCCAGAAATAGTGCAAATTGAGTCCACTTTAACTGCCCTGACTCAGTGCTAGGGAATCCTGGGAACTGTAGTTTATTGTGGCACCAGAGCTCTCTGACAGAGAAGGCTCAATGTCTCAGAAAAAAATACAATTCCCATAATTCCCTAGCTCTGAGCCAGGGCAGTTAATTGGAGTCAATTTGCACTATTTTTAGCAGTCTGCAAAGGCCCTAAGTGCCCTCAACAACTTGGCTACTCATTTTAGTGATCTTGGAAGGATGCAAGGCTGAGTTGACCCTGGAGCCCTGCAGGATTGAACTGACAACCTTGTGGCTGCCGTACTGGCATTTAACCACTGTGCCACCAGGGCTCATTATAAGCAATTGTATTCCCCATTACCAAGTATGGATGCGTGAGCTGGACAGTTAAGAAAATAACCAAAAAGAGAATAAATTCATTTGAAATGTTGGAGATGAATGCTGAGGATACAGTGAATAGCAAAAAGAACAAATAAATGGATCCTAGAACAGATCAAGCCTAAAATTGCCCTGGAGTCAAAAAGATAACTAAACTGAGGCTGTTGTAATTTGACCACATCATGAGAATGCATGACTTATTAGAAAAGACAATAATGTTAGGAAAGGTGGAGGGAAATAGAAAGAGAGGAAGACCACATGCTAGATCAGGTGTCGGCAACCTACGGCCCGTGGGCCAGGGCCGGCCTCCCGAGGCTTCTGGACCAGTCACCGCCGCTGCACGTGCCGTGCCCGCCATTTTGTTTTCCAAATAATAATAATAAATAATTTTTTATTTGTAGCCCACCCCTCTGCAAA